GGTTACTATCCGGACCCTGGGAACAACCCAGGGCAGAGACCTCCATACCCTGGGGATACGCAGGGTTCGAAGAGACGACCCCACTATTAACAACAGAGCGGGAGGACTTCGATCCCGAAGAACCCTCACAGGTTCAGGCCGGTCCATGGGCGTCGAAGTCAAGTAACCCGTTCGACGAAGATTGGGTGCCCCTGTATGAACCGTTACTTCAGCAGGAGAAGTTCATTCCCAAGTTGATTGACGTTTCCATCCCTTTACCCCAGTTAAATAAAGAAGACAAATGGTTCAGTTCAAATGTGCCTACTGCTTTATTTGGGACGGGGGAGGTGAAGAATAGCGGACCCTCACACCTTGAAGAGACCAAAACCAAGATGCTGTGGGACTGTTCAACTCTAAAACTGATGAGACTATGGACAATATCCATAAGATGAGAAAGACAGCGAAATCTTACATACCATACCAGCTGTATAGGTACCAAAAGTTTGCCTACAAAAAACCACAGTACCAATCGTCTACTCAGTACCAGCCCTCTTGGTACAGTAAGCAACAGCAGGACCACACTTACCAAGTTCAGCAGCCTCATACGCCGCTCTTCAAGCAACAGCGCTTTCGTAGCCCTAAGCAGTCCTTTTGCAAGACTCAGCATAGGGGTAAGCAATTCTCATGAATCTATCTCCTATACAAGATTATCTCCATTCTTACAAGAATGGAAAAACATCACTACTGATAAGTGGGCCCTTATATCATGCAACATGGATATAGGATAGAATTTTTCTGTATCCCTCCACCAAATTCAATCAGACCTATTCCCTTTTCCAAGCAGCTGCATTTGGAAATCTCATCCCTGTTATCTAAAAAGGCCATAATCCAAATTCCATCTGACAGTACTGATGGATTTTACTCACATTACTTTGCAGTCCCCAAGACTCAACCGGTACAGATTTCACAAGAAATTCCGTATGCTCACCCTTGACTCCATTCTTCCCCTCTTGTCTCAGGGAAACTGGTTCATC